TGCTACCCCGAGCTTTAACTAATATACCTAGGTATAAATAGATAAGAAGAGGGAACTTTTGCCAGAACCCAGGGGGAAAGAGTAATGTGGAGGGGCCAGTCATGAGTGCAGCGGTGCCCTTGGTGGAAGGAATGGAGGGAATGAATGTCTAGAGCTCATTTTCCCTGCTTCCTCCTGTTTCCTGCCAACATGCTTGTTGGCTGAACACTGTCAGAAGCAAGAAGGCAGGGACCTGTAATGTGTTTCTATAAGCTGAGCCTCTGGGCACAGAGAAGGGCAGAAAGTGCAGACTGTGGATCTGGAGAACAGAATGTCCAGCACATAGGAAAAGCCTCCACTTCAAAAATATCTTGGCTCTTCTTCCATGTTTACTTTACCAGTGACCACAGTCTTATCATACTATGTACGTTAAAAGCAGCATATCTACTTGGAACCTCTTCCTGTTTTATCTGTTTGTGCTTACCTTCTAGTGACTATTTTGTTAATTTGGACCCTGTTCCTTCTCTGTTTACTTCCATCTGAAATCCAGCATATTATTTTTGGAGTTCCCTCTCTGTTCCTCCAAGCCATGTTGTACAATTACATTCTGAAGTACTAATAAACGAGGCTCCAGCTTTTGGTTAGATTCTTAGGCAGTAACACTGTTTTGTATGGCAGACACCTTTTTTCCACCACTGGTAGCTTGTGAACTTTGATCTTTATTAGAGGTGGAGACTGGATTTCCTTTAGTTTGTCAGAGTGGAATGTGATGATTCTGAGGCAGCATCCCACCTAATGAGTGTTTTGATGAGTTAAAGGTGTCTGCTCTGGCCATAGAAATGAAGAGTTGCAACATATGTTCCTGCATTTGCTTTCTTGGCATTATGCCCTCGGCTTTGGACCACCTTCCTCTTATCTTGAGTAGCTAACTTTTCCTGGCACCTCCCACTTTAATCTTTCTAATTCTTTTGCCAAGCTTCAATCTACTGGACAAGGAAAGAAGAGAAAGTTTTAATCTGCAGGATAAAGTTAGCTTAAGTTTTGAAAATATAACTAGGTGTGGCGCGGTGGCTCACGCCTTTAATTCCAGTGCTTTGGTATGTGGAGGCAAGAGGATTGCCTGAGCCCACGGGTTCAAGACCAGCCTGGGGAACATGACGAGACCTTATCTCTATCATAAATAAAAGAAATTAGTCAGGTGTGGTGATGCACGCCTGTAGTTCCAGCAACATGGAAGGCTGAGGTATAAGACTCGCCTGAGCACAGCAGGTCAAGGCTGCGGTAACCATGAGCATGTCAGTGCACTCCAACCTGGGCAACAGAGTGAGACTCTGACTCAAAAAAGAAAACACAACTAGAGAAAGCCTTACTCTAACTTAACAGAGAAATTTAAAGAATTTTTAAAAATTTAAAATTTGATCTTTTGAGAATAATTTGTCACCAATTGAGGAAAAAAAACCCCTGAGAGTTAAAAAAAAAAAAGTTATCCTCTCTGACCACTCATTGTCTTTACCATGTGGAAACATGTAAGGTATTAAGAGTAGAAGGGACAGTCAACGTCACTGAGTCTGTCTCCCTTTCTTTGCAGATGAGTCTGCATATTCAGAAAGGGATTGATTTGCCCATACAGTGGCAAGTGATGGAGGTTGAGTGAGAACCCCATTCTTCTGAATTTATGTTCTGTCCACTAGACCAACTTTTTTCTCCTTTTGATTATAGGACTGACTTTCTAGTATAGATGGCTAACCTATTATCTTTTCTTGTGGGCATGTATTAGATCTCAAGCTAGATGGGAAGCAATTTGAAGACAGTAACCATGTCTTATACTTTTAAATCCATCACGGTACTTCATACAAATATGCATATGTAGAGTACATGTTTTACACACTGACTGATAAGTGTCTGTTGAATTGAACAGACTGATGCTCTTTGTTAAAGAATAATGACTTAGGACAAAAGAGTTTCTAAAGACAAAGGCATTAGAGAAATAAAATGTAGGCAGTGCTTAGTTGGGAAAGAGTCTGAAGGGTTCTAATAAGTTAAGGATCTTCTTGAGGATTATGTTGACAATCTGTCATTTAGCTGAGGCCTGGATAAAGAAAAAGAGATCATACAAGCAAGTTAAGCTGAGAAAATGTTTGGTTTTAGAGGGAGTGGAAGGGAGTTTTTATTTTGAGCAGATAGAGATCTTCTTGGGTCTCTTGTAGACTGGGTGGGGAGTACGGGGATAAAGGAAATATGCTATGTGGACGGATAACAGGGATATTTCCATACAGATATTATTTTCAGAGACACTTTCAAGCAAACACATGTCTTCCTGTTTTTGCTCCTTCAAGGGAGATGTTCAAGCATTTTTATGTTTCTTTTTATTGAGTTGCCTTGCGTCGTTGAGTATGAGATGAGTATAGTTAGAGTAGAAAGTGTAGAGGAATCTTCTTCCTTAATTTCTGAGTGCTCTGTGAGGAGTAGGAGCCATCTGGATGTCAGAAAAGGAAGCTCTTAATGAGTTCCTTTTTGTGTTGCTCTCAAGACTTTGCATTGATTGTTAAATTCACTTTAACTTCCTTTTCTATGGTATAAAAGGAGGCAATTCCAAGGGCTCCATGATGGACATATGAACCAGCAACTGTTGCTCTGTGTTTTGTGCTTCTCCTCGCTCTCCATATCCACAGCCCTGCAGGTACCTACTGTAGGGAACTCTGACCCATCCTTTTTGTCCATGGTGCTTGATCTATGCTGCTTCCAGGTGGCTCGACCCTCCTTTGAGACAGACATCAATTGCAAAGATCAGAGTGGGTTGGCTTTTGAAGAGGTTTTTCACATTCTGCTTTGCAAACCTTTTGAGAGATGTGGTGTTCCTTTCATGTTTCTATTCCATCTGTCTCTCGAAAGGGCAAAGGGAGTGTCTTCATATGACCGGGGAGCTATTGATGTTGGCTGCAAATTCATTTCAAATTAATTTCTACATTTTTGTCGTAGGCATCTAACAGCCATTGTATTCCCTTGATCTTGACATTGCTCTAGCAAGGCTGCCAGTGAGCAATAAGAGGAACAATTTCTGTAACTCTTTAAAGCAAGAACAAAATAAAAGTTCTAATTCATCAAGGCAATTATATTAAATGTCATTCTTAGTTTCTTCCTTTGTATACTGGGTCCCAAGTCATATAGGATTGTATTCGTTATCTAGCTGAACTTCTAGTGAAACCTTGTCAAGCATCCATAATACATTTATTGAATACCAACTGTCCCTCTGTTTCCCAGACACTCTGGGATTTCAACTAAACCATTTTCTATTCCTACAACAACCCTACAAGATAGTTATTATTGTTGTATTATACAAGAAAAAATAATAAGTCTAAATTTTAGCCTTATTTACCTAAGTCCCACAGCAGGTATGTATATGAGAATTGCCTTTGACCTATTGAGTCCAAAATCTTTTCTCTTTGCATTATACCAGGGGGCTATAAGTGACCCAATCTAGCCTGCCACCTGTTGTTTTATTAGAACATGGACATACCCATTTGCTTATATCTTTTCTAGAATTGTTTTCACACTACTGTGGCAGAGTGAGTAGTGGCAACAGAAACGTGGTGACCCACAAAGAAAATAGTTAATATCTGGAGCTTTAAGAAAACTTTGGTAACCCCTGCACTATACTATTGCTCATAGTGACCATGTCATTGGCAAATAGGACAGTTTTTCTGGCTATACATTGCAGGCATATAAACTTAGAGTCTATCATCAATCTGTCCGCATCATTTTTTTTTCTTTTTATTTCATTTTGTCTTTTAGATATTTTTGTTATGATTTTTTTGAGGTAGTTAGTGGCTTTTACCTCTGAATCTAAATGCCAGTTAGGAATAGTTTGATTTATTTATTTAGAGATTTCCTATCAGGAATCTTATAATAGATTGTTTGAGATTTGAAATGGTTTCATGAAGCATAAATTTTTCAGCAGGACTTTCTTTCTTGAGGGGGAAAAGATCAGATAATCATGTAGCCTTCAAGCAAGTTCTGCTACTTTCATGTTAAAAAGGGAACTACCTCTGTGTTTTTAGTTGATGTTACATGGACAATTTCTATCCAAGATGAGATTGAAGAAATATTAATATCTGTTATATGCACCTCAGGTCTATTGGAGGGTTTGCCTTGAAGGAAGTTAGTTGTGAGGCAGCAGTTTTCAAATGTCAGTGTATATAAGAAACACTTTGGGATGCTTGTTTTAAAAAATGTAGATTCCCATGTCCACAGCTCCAGAAATTATGAATTAGTAAGTCTGCTGTAGATGCCTCTGATTCTTATAAGAAAAACATAGGTTTGAGGAGGTTAGAATCATGGCTTAATGCAATGATTCTAAGTAGTCCAAGTAAGTATATTATTCATGACTAGTGTTTTGATATTGATTCAGTTTATCTCAAAAATGTGATGTAACTATAAACTATATAAGTTTATATATAAGTTATAAATGTTTAAGTATATCATGACAAGAAATAGAATAATAAAATAAAATAATATCACTGTAAGTGTATTTTAACTACTTTCACTACCACTAATAATGACAATTACATTTTATGTTTATGCTTTCTGGTTACAGAGTTCCTCATTACGTACATCTCATTTGATTTTCATGTCAATCCTTGAGGTCGATATGCAGGGGATATAATTTCATTTATTGGTGAGATAACTGAGATTGAGAAAACAAGTAATTTTTTGTTTCAACATGGCAGAGTTAATACATAGTACATCTAGAATTCCCAGACAGCACCTCTAATTTCTAGTCTGGCATTATTTCCAATGTGCCATATTGTCCTTGTGTCACCTAATTTGATTTTTAGAGGAAAATATGATCTTTTACAACTCACTGCCTTCTGATAGGAAGGATGAACTGCCCACAGTTAAGTCCTTTGGTAGTCTTCCATAGGTGACTTGATGTATACAAGTGTGTGCAGACTGGGCAGCTCAGTTGTTTTTATGGAACACTCCCAGCATGGGAGAAGAAACCTTTCGCCTTTCTTTGACAGAAACTCTATAAGACGGGTCGTGAGATGCAGGAGAGGATCATGGACCTGCTTGTGGTGGTGGAGAATGAAGATGTAATGGTTGAGCTAATTCAAGTGAATGAGGATTTGAATAATGCTATCCTTGGATATGAGAGGTGAGCAGATGGTGTTCACTCTTTACCCCTCCTCCAATGCCAGTTTCACCAACAGTTTCTCAGCATTCTTATCAGGGTGCCTATAAGGCAACATGTTTTCTAGACCCTTGTTTCTCAAGAGGTAAGGTATTGACATTTTGGGTGGAACAGTTTTCCCTGGGGTGGCTCCTACTCAATAAATACCAGAGATGTTTCTTCTAGGTAAAATGACATTTCTAGACATCCTTAGGGTTATTGTTTTTGTTGAGAATTACTGAGAATGTTTAATTTCAAAGTGGCTATATTTCTAACTAGCTGGTGAGGAATGAGACCAGTCTGAATAAGGGAAAGAAAGGAAACAGACCTGAATTCAAACCTAGCTGGTGATTTTAGATAAGTTGCATAACTCTTCTAAGATTTAAGTATTTTTAAATCTATTATAGAGGATATTAAAACCTATTTAGAGTGGTTGGGCTTTATTTTTTGAAGATTAAATGATATAATGTATATAAAAACACTTAACTGAGTGGCTTCCATTAAGTATTAACTTCTTATCTTCCTCCCAATTAGTGTCCCATTGACCCTTTTAATTTAGTGACTTGGTTTTTTTCCACACTTCATGAGCAATCCAAAAGAATCCATGAAATAAAACCAGTAGCTAAGAAATGGTAGTTTCTTTTCACTCTAGCTCATATTTACTTCCTATTAGGGACAGGACATTGACTGAAGAGATGTGAGCTCAGTAACCATGCTTTCTTTCTAGCACTGAACAAACTCATGATCCTTACCCTTTATTTTCTGTGGAACAAATCTTTGTAAGCAGAAAAATATCCAAGGAAAACCACATTGTTTTCAGTATAGTAATGTGTTCTGGTTTTCATTTTTGAGAATTCTGTTATAAACCATCAGAACACTGTCTAAAGGCTTTCTCCGAGGGGGAATGTTTGTTTATTTGGTCTATCAGGAGATTAGATCACTTCTGTGAACAACTCCTTCTGATTGGGCTTTTAATCATGTGTGCCTAAGTGACTGTGGTAAATTTTGTGACAGAAACACTTAAGTACTAAGTTTCAGAGAGAAATTTTGGCCTCTAAAAAAGGTGCTAGCCTGCTGTTTTTTTTTCCTATTGCTGCTGTCTCAAATTACCACAAACAGTGGCTTAAAGAAACATAACTTCATTATTGTAATACGGTAATATTGTAAGATACTAAGAAGTTCTGTAGGTAAAGAGTTTAAAATGGGTGTCGAGGTATTGGCAGAGCAACAGTTCTTTTTGGACACTCTAGAGGAGAATTCATTTCCCTACCTTTTGCAACTTTTAGAGGCTGTCCACTTTCCTTGGCTCATGCCCCGCCCCCCTTTCCTCAATCTTCAAAGCCAAGAATGTCTGAGTCAGTCCTTCTTATATCATGTCACTCTTAGTGCCTCTCTCTTTCATATTTAAGAACCTTTATGGCTACATTGGGCTCATCTGTACAGTTCAGGATAACATCCCAATTAAGATCAGCTCACTAGCAAACTTCATTCCGTTTGCAATTCTGAATTTTCCCTTGTCATGTGAGCTAACATATTCACTGGTTCTATTAACTAAAACATGGATATCTTTTGATAGAGGGAGGGAGGAAGCATTAGTCTACCTGTCAGTTTGCTCTCTAGTCCCCAGAGATTCATATCCCTCTCACATGCAAAGCACATTCACCCTATCCCAGCACCCCCCAAAGATCTCCACTTATTACACCCAGGGAATAGTACAAATAAATAATTTGAAATCAGTTACTCAGGGCTTGATCTGGAAGGTTGTTTATACCTAGCACATAACTATGAGAATACAAGAAGCCAATTATAACTAGACCAAATTAAAAAGCATGTGTTTTAGAAAAATTCTTAAGCCTAAGTCCATATTCAGATTCACTTTAAGCTTTTATACTCATGTTTAGGATCATTGGAGCCAAGATGTGATAATAGTAATACTATATGTTTCTAAAGCAGCTCTCAGTTTGCAAAGCACTTCCACATTCATCCACCTATTCTATCTACCTATCTATCCTATCATCTATCTATCATCTGCCATCTGTCTGTCTATCTTTGCCCCTGAAAATAACTTTCTGAGGTTTAAATATCATTACTCCCTTTTAGCAGCTGTAGAACTGAGGTTCAGAAAGTCATATCCTTTGGTCCTATAGCTACTAGGTACTAATGCTGACACTTGAGCCTTGGACTTTGGCCTTCACTTTCACTAGTCTTTTACATTTGTTCTGTTTATTTAACTCTTTCTCCTTTACTCTCAGTGGACAAACAATGTGAAATCAAATCAAAGTTGTAAAAGGTCAATATTTTTCATAGGTATCAAGTGTCTTATAAAAATAAAGGTAAACAATGAAATAGTGAAAATTCTTTGCATGTATTTGAACTTTTGGGACAATTATTTATAATGGCAAAATAGGATATAACTTAAGTATTTGAGAATAAGAAAAATGATTAAAGGTATGATAGATTAATAAGGCAAAATATTACAGCCATTAAAATTGTATTTCTGAATAGCTAGAAAAATGCTCACAATATAATCAATTAGGATACAGAATTATGTTAAGTATTATTTTAACTAAATTTAAAAAGAGATTCACTTATACAAAAAATACTGGAATAATGTAAACAGGGTTATTTCTGGATGATGGAATTGCTCATTTAAAAAAATATTTTTCAGCCGGGCTCGGTGGCTCAGCCTGTAATCCCAGCACTTTGAGAGGCTGAGGTGAGTGGATTGCCTGCACCCGCGGGTTCAAGACCCGCCTGGGCAACTTGGCGAGACCTCATCTCTACAATCAGTCAAAAATTAGCCGGGCGTGGTAGCGCGCTCCTATAGTTCCAGCTACTTGGAAGGCCGAGGCGGAAGGATCGCTGGAGCCCAGCAGGTCGAGGCTGTGGTGACCGCGAGCGGCCACTACACTCCAGTCTGGGTGACAGAGTGAGACTCCAACTCAAAAAAAAAAAAAAAAATTTCTATTTTCTCAGTGTTCTCTAAGATTATAATACTTTATAAACTGGAAGAAAGTTACTAACGTTATTTTACTAGGAATTGAGTTAGGATGAGGCTGATTGTCTTCATTCTTAAATATCTGTGTATTTATAATTATTAAATTATTAAAATGATTAGATTTTATAGCAATTTCATATCTATTTTCTTTTAAATGCTTGTATTTTGCTAATTTAAACAGGTTTACTAGAAACCAGCAAAGGATTTTAGAGCAAAATAAGAACCAGCAAGAAGCCACCAATGTAAGTGATTAGAAATGTCATAAAATAAACAGTCGAACAATTTAATACAGTAAAATGCAAGGCTCACCTAAAACAAGTCTTAAAAAGGAGAGACGTGCATTGATAATTTGGGGTGGTTTTGGTGGTATATGTAATTACCTCAACTTCATGTTATTAAGTTATTAATAAGAAATTATAAGATTCCCTAGTGAAGCAGGTACTTATATAAAGATGGTAAGATGTGATTCATACTAATTTTGACTATTGAGAGAATTCTTCCTCAAAATGCACCCCAATAGGATCCTCTTCTCTCCAAAGGATAGGGTATGGGAGAAAGCCATGATAACCTATATGACACATTTTTTTCTTTTTTTTCCTGCTTTGTTTCCAGACTACCAGTGAGCCTTCTGCCCCATCTCATGATCTCCTTGACCTGAGTCCCAGTCCTCCGATGCCTGAGGCTTCTCTGGGAGAACTCAACACCATGAATGCTCAGCTTTCAGACTTAGGTGAATAAGCACTCGGGTCTTGTCAGATGGACAGAAGAGCTTGATGTGAAACAGTTCTCCTTAATTTCCTCATTAAATACCACCTGTAAAGGACTGAAGTCAATTTGAATATCAGAAAACTATGTCAGGAGATGTAATTACTTCCTGAAAAGTGTTGGGTCAAACCTAGTACAGGAATGGGATGTTTTCAGGGGAGGAGGTCCTTGAAACTCCATCTACTCACTTAGAATCTCACGGAATTCATCTGCCCTGGCTGTTCACCTCGATGGCCAATACTTAAAATCTACTCTGAGCCCATACACTGTTATCATTGGGTTTTTCAGGTAAAGGAATATTTGATGCAAAAGGAGAAATTGAGGAATTAAAAGCCATGATCCACATGGTGGTGAAATGTAGAGGGAAAAAACACAGGTTCTAAAGTCAGAGAAGTACCAGTTGAAATACCAGTTCTGCCACCTCTTAGCCATCCAACTTTTGAGACTTTCTTTATAAGAAAGTAACTGGTTGCTTGAAATTATTATTGTGAAGGTAAATGAACTGTTTATAAAACATTGTAGGTTTATAAAATGCATTGTAGACTTTGCTACGATGCATTTTATAAACATATATACAAAGTAAGGGTTATCCAACCCATCTAACTTATTTGTTGTCATCTACTATCCTTATTCTCAGTAAGTGTTGGAAAATTAGAAAATAAGGATGTGAAAAATGCTGAAATTCAGAAGTTGTATCAGACTAAAATCCAATTTGCTATTCTTTTATGTTATCTGGTGTTCCCAAAGCAAAAATATTTAGTGTACTGAATTCGTGGTTTTCTTATAACATTCCCCATTTCTAAAATGTTGGCTACTTGCTAATGTAGTAGGTCAGTGCGATGTATAGAATCAGTTACACTGGAGTTGCAGGTTTTTTGTTTTTGAGTTTGTATCAGGAATTTTCAGAGGTGGAAAATAGTCCCTCTAGGGTGTCTCACTTAAGATTATGAGCTTAGCTGGGTGCAGTGGCTCACGCCTATAATCCCAGCACTTTGGGAGACTGAGGTGAGAGGATTGCCTAAGCCCATGGGTTTGAGACTAGCCTGAGCAACTTGGCGAGACCTCATCTCTACAATAAATAAAAATTAGCCAGGTGGCATGATGGCGTGTGCCTGTAGTTCCAGCTACTTGGAAGGCTCAGTGGAAGGATTACCTGAGCCCAGCAGGTCGAGGCTGTGGTGGCCATGAGCATGCCATTGCACTCCAGCCTGGGTGACAGAGTGAGACTCCAACTCAAAAAAAAAAAAGATTATGGACTTGGAGCTTGAGGTGAAGGTAGACCTCAGTATACATCATAACTTTGTATTTTTGTGCTGGGCAGAGCAAGACATCCTTTCCATTCTGGGTCAGGTTGAGATTTCAGAAAACCCAATACAATAATATTTGCTACCTTTATAACAACTAATTTTTTTGTGGCCAGGATCAGTCAATCTTTCTGTCTGTCTGTTTCTCTTTCTCTCTCTCTGCCTCCCATAAATGATGCTTCTTAATTTCTCTTAGAAGAAATTTCATAATTTTATTTTGACAGAAATATCTACATTAATCGCTTCCATTTTTTTTTAATTGTGGAAAATCCAGCATAACAATTGATTGGCAAAATGTTTTAAAACCAAACAAGTCCATTTTGTATTATAGATTTCAGCTCTCCAAGTCATGAAGCCAGTCTTCATCCACAGATGGATTTGCTAGCCTTGGAAAACACAGAAATACCCCTGTAAGTACATCAGTAACACTGAGGGACTAGTAGCATGACATTTTGATTCCTTATATTTAAGAAAACATCACATAATAAAAAAAGAGACAAGAATCAGACAGACGTGAGTTTGAATCTCAGCACTACTTCCTACTAGTTATATGACATTGAATGAAATACGTAGCTACTGTGAATGTTCATTTTTCTTTTAAGAATACTTTCTAGGATTCCTACAGAGATTCAGTGAGGTGCTGTATGCAAAATTGCTACTATATCACTTGGTACATAATAAGCCTTCAATAAATTGTCTCTGTTTCTGTTATTATTTAGTGGTAACAGAAGTTAGGGAGAAAATATGGGAAATACAGTGACAAACGAGGAGGAAGAGAAATGAGATTCAGAATTAAGAATAATGCCCTACCAATTATAGAGCACTTGCTATGTGCCAGGTACTTTGTTAAGCTATTTTTGTTTATTCATGTAATCTTTGCTAAAGTTCTTGAATCAATACGGTTATCATTATTTCTTATCGTACAGTAGAAGAGACGGACACTTCTCAGACCCTCCTCTATTGAGGGGAATAGAACTTACCTAAGTTCTATTATTAGCCCATAAGTAGCAAGTCTGATGAACTGATAGTTCACCAAACAAGAAATATTCATGACCCATAGACATATGCAATGATGTTCAACTTTACTTATAGAGAAATAATGTAAATAAGCTAAAAAGTATAAAAAATGCTTACTAATTACTTTCTAATCCTCCTTATAAGCCTGTGAGGTAGGGACCACCATCATTTTCCTTTTAAAAGTGAGGAAACCGAGGCTGAGGAAGATTAATTTGCCAGTGGTTGCCCAGCTACTGCTGAAACAGGATTCAAATTCACATGGGTCTGATTTCAGTAACTGCTCTTTCTTTTCACTTAATTTTATTTTTAAAATTTTCACATAGTAAAATTGACCTTTTTTGATTTGGTGTACAGTTATATGAATTTTAAAATATGTATAGATTCCTGTAACCACTTTCATAGTCAGGATACAGAATAGGAATAGTTCCATCGCTCAAAAAAACTCCCTTGTGCTATTGCTTTACAGTCACACCCTCCTACCTCTAAACCCTAACTCCAGCAAACACCAGTCTGTTCTGTAGTGCTAAAGTTTGTCTTTGAGAATGTCATTTAAACAGAATCATACGGTATGTAATCTTTCTAGAAGAGATTGTATAAAATTGTATACTTTATGTGTTAAAGCTCATGCCCTCAGCAGTGTTATGTCTTCTTGGTTAGTTGACCCTTTTATTGTTATCTAATGTTCCTCTTTACCCCTCATAATTTTTTTGGCCCTGATATCTACTTTGCTTTTTTTTTTTTTTAAAGATACAGGGTACAAGTCAGGATTAGGTATACAAATGGTCATCATACAGGTTAAGTTTAGGCCTCCATTTGGTCCCCCCTTCACCTGTTTTGAAATCAGGTACCCTTATTAATGTTATGTGCCCCTCACCCCATTCCCTGGCATCATCCCACTACTGCCAATCCCTTTTCTATAGTATTATGATAATTTTCCAGGGTCTGCTTATGAGTGAGAACATGTGGTACTCAGTTCTTTGTTTCTGAGATAGATCACTGAATATTACAGACTCTAAATCCATCCAAGTTGCTGCAAAGTTCATTATCATGTCCTTTATGGCTGCATAATATTCCATCATGTATATGTACCACATTTTTTTAGCCAGTCCACTTTTGATGGGCAGTACAGCTGGTTCCATGTTTTTGCTATTGTGAATAATGCTACAATAAACATGTGTGTACAGGTATCTTTTTCACAAAATAATTTGAGTTCCTCCAGGTATCTTTGATATTAATAGAGCTACTCTAGCTTTCTTTTGATAAGTGGTTGCGTGGTATATCCTTTTCCATATTTTTACTTGTAACTTAACTGTATTAAAATATTTGAAGCTTCTTATTGGCAGCATATAGTTGATTTATGCATTTTTATGTATTATCATAATTTCTGTCTTTTAATTGATGTGTTTAGACCATTTCCATTTAATATTGTAATTTTATATTGGGTTTAAGTCTACCATGGTATAATTATTCTGTGTTCTCTTTTATTCTGCTCCCTTTTCCCTGCCTTTTTGAAATTATTACAATATTTCTGGTATTCCATTTTAATTTATCTATTGTGATTTTGATTGTGTCTTTCTATAGTATGTGTGTATATGTATCTACTGAGAAAAAAAGGTTGCTTTAGTGATTACTTTTTGTGAAAATGTCTTTAGTTCATCTTTGTTCCTAAAGGATATTTTCACTGGCTATAGAATTCTGGGTTCATAATTCTGTTCTTTCAGCAACTTTAAAAGATTGTTCCACTCTCTTCTGTTATGAATGATTTCTAATGAGAAAGTTACACTCATTTGAACTGTTCTTCTTTAGATAATGTATTATAGTTTACTGGCTCCTTTAATTAATTTTTCTTTTTTTCTAATTTTGAGCAGTTTGATTATGATGTGTTTGAGTACTGATTTTGTTTGTTCTGTTTTGGGTTGGCTGAGTATATTAGTTTCTTGTGACTGCCATAACAGATTACCACAAACTGAATGGCTTAAAACCACAGAAAATGATTCTCTCACAATTCTGGAGCCAAGAAGTCTGAAATTCAGCATACCCACACTCCCTCCAGGACTTTTAGGGGAAAATCTGTTCTCTGCCTCTTCCACATTCTGCTGATTTGTTGGCATTCCTTGGATAGCTTAGCTTTTGGTCACATCACTCCAATTTCTGCCAGTACTTGCACTTGGATTTTTTTCCTCTGTGTGTCTCAAATCTGCTTCTGCTCTTCTAAGATCACTTGTTATTGGATTTAGGGCTCATTCAGATAATACAGGATGATATCATTGTCATCTTAAGATCCTTAATTACATTTACAAAGAACCTTTTTCCAAATAACATTCACAGGTTCTGAGAATTAGGACATGAGCATAGCTTTTTGGGTACTACCATTTAACCCACCACATGAAACTTCTTGAATTTCTGGGCTTATATCTTTTCAACCTTTCTTTTCCTTCCTCCTTCCCTCTCCTCCCCTCCCTTTTCCTTTCTTTTTCTCTTTCCCTTCCTCTTTTTTTTCAGAACTATATGCTTTCTGCTCTCCTTCTGGAACTCTGATGTCACAATGTTAGACCCAGGTCTTTGACTTCTACATGTTTGGGGTTCTAGTCATTACTTTTTATTTTTATTCTTCCTTCTCTTATTTAGATTGGATAATTTCTATGATCTGTGTTCAAGTTTAGTGACTATTTCCTTTGTCATCTCCATTCTTTTGCTACTGAGCTCATTCTGTAAGTTTTTAAAAATTTCAGTTATTGTATTTTTTAATTCTAAAAAATTTCCATTTGGTTCTTTATATATTCTTTTTCGTTGCTGAGACTCTTTTTTTCCATTTTTCAAGAGTATTTGCAATTCTTTGTTGCAGCATTTGTACAATAGCTGTTTTAAAATTCCCATGAGATAATTTCACCATCTGTACCCTCTTGGCATTGAGATCTGTTTTCTTCTCATGCATTTTCCTGGCTCTTCATATGCCTAGTAATTTTGGATTATGTCTTGGGTATTTTTAATGTTTTATTGTAGGGCCCTTGGTCTTATTTAAATTCTGTCAAAAATGTTGACATTTTGCTTTTAGTAGATAAATAACCTGGTTAGATTCATTCCACTATTTCTGCCTGCTTTATGAGTGGTGGTTCCAGTGTCAGTTTTCTTTCTCTTTTTTTTTTTTTTTTTTTTTTGAGTTGGAGTCTCACTCAGTCGCCCAGACTGGAGTGCAGTGGCCGCTCCTGGCCACCGCAGCCTCGACCCGCTGGGCTCTGGCGATCCTTCCGCCTCAGCCTTCCAAGTAGCCAGAATTACAGGTGTGCGCTACCACGCCCAGCTGATTTTTTTGATTTATTGTAGAAATGAAGTCTCGCTGCCCAGGCGGGTCTCGAACCCATGGGCTCAGGCATTCCACTCACCTCAGCCTCCCAAAGGCGCAGGATTACAGGCTGAGCCACGAAGCCCGGCTTCTTTCTCTCTTTTTTGAGTTGGAGTCTCACTGTAGCCGGAATTACAGGCATGCGCTACCACGCCTGGCTGATTTTTTGATTTATTGTAGAGATGAGGTCTCGCTGCCCAGGCGGGTCTCGAACCTGCGGGCTCAGGCAATCCACTCACCTCAGCCTCCCAAAGGCGCGGGATTACAGGCTGAGCCACCGAGCCCGGCTTCTTTTTCTCTTTTTTGAGTTGGAGTCTCACTCTGTCACCCAGGCCAGAGTACAGTGGCACGCACTTACCTCAGCCTCGACCTGCTGGGTTCAGGTGATCTTCTGCCTCGGCTTTCCAAGTAGCTGGAACTTCAGTCTCATGCCACCACGCCCGGCTAATTTTTGTGATTTATTGTAGAGACGAGGCCTCACTAAGTTGCCCAGGCTGGTCTCAAACCCCCAGGCTCAGGCAATCCTCTCGCCTTGGCCTCCCAAAGTGCTAGAATTATAGGCTGAGCCACCATGCCCAGCCTCAGTTAAGTTTTCAAAACCGTTGCAGTGCTATTCAAATCTATCCTGCATATGTCCCACCCGGTGGCTAATCTTAAGGTCTGCATAAGCAGGTGATATGTTCAGTTCTCAATATTTTTGGCTTTTTGATTGAGGTTAGATCCAGGCATGCACAGGGTTAAAGGGTGAGCCTAGGATTTCATAAACAACTTTATGAGACTGTCTTTCTGAATTCTTCCAGCATTGTGATTTCTCTGGTACCTTCTGTTCTCTTGGGGCTCCCCTTCTTGGCTTTAGTCATAAAGCTGGAGCTTCGTTACTCTACGATACCACACACTTTTTTGAGTATGCTTGTGTCTGTGAACAAATTGCAAGTCAGAAAGGAAAAAAGCAGTGGGATTCTCCTTATCCTCTTGGGGTTAGGGCTCCTAATGGAGAGGAAGATTCCCTCACAGAGTTTTAATCTCCTATCAGGTCCCAATTGCCTCTGCTGTCACTGCAGCCAAAATGGAGTTGCCCATGGTTTAGGGTGTGAGAGAACAGAGGGAAGAGGACAAAAAAAGGGGTGAGGGATTTTTCTTCCCTGCTCAGTGAGAATCAGAGGGCTTCTCCTGGAACTCTTTTGTCTTCACTCATGGATACACTGGCTTTCAGGCTGCATTGCATTTGGTCAGGGAAAACAAAGGAGAAAAATTGGTAAATTCACCAACAGTTCTGTGATACTTGAATTCTAGTCTTCTTTCCCAACCAGCCTGCTACTGTTTACTACTTCTCAAAGTCCTCAAATAGCTGCTCTGTGCATTCTGTCCAACTTTAATAGTGACAGTCAATTGGAGAGACAGGATGAAATATGTGTTCCACTTTACCCTGAACTGGATACCCTCCTGGCTTTCTTCTTAACCTCTGCTCTGCACTGCTTCTCATCTTTCAGGAAATGATAGGTGGTAGCTTCTCTAATGGAAGGACTGAAGACTCTGGTCTTATGAGTGTTCCAGTTACAATCTAAGGTCTCAGGGGTGCCACTGCCAGGAGTCAGTGCTTTTTACCTTTAGTATTTGGCACCATGACCTGATGGGCGTTGAAACCAGGTGGTAATTGTTATGTAAAAGTAACACTATGTGCAGTCTGAAGGTACGTTTTAGGTTTTGTTTTTAGACCAAGAAAATCATCTTACTTTTTGCATTTGTGTTCTCACTGTAGGGTAATCATGCTGTGTTATCACACTATCCTAGGTTTGCCCCAAGGACCAGCCAAAACCTCACCTCAAGTCATACATATGATAATGTAAGTAACAAAACTCATTTCTGGCACTGTACCTAGTCAGCAAATTATCATGGCCAAAAAATAACTTGTGGCTGTTAATTCTCATGTTCTGCTCAATAATATGTTGATGCAGCCCGTTAGAACTTTTCCTTTGTCTTTCATCTGTTAGCAAGTGGTAATGGATCAAAATTCCGTTAGAGCTGTTTATATTTACTGTCTCCAGTTTTTTTCCTCCCATCCTCTTTGACGGACTTCAGATGAGTTCTTATCCTCACCACTGCACGGACATAGCTCTTGTTAAGGTCACCAGTGACTTCCATATTATTAAATCCCTCAGTCCTCATCAGATTTATCAGCAGCATGTGATAAAGCTGATCACTTCCTCCTCTTTTGCACACATGGCTTTCAAACACTACTCACTTGGTTCTTCTCCGACTTGTTTTCATCTCCATCTCTTTTGCTGGCCCTTCCTCTGCTGCTGACCTTTCAATGTTGGAGACCACAGGGCTCAGGCTTCAGACTTCTCAGTCTACATTCATTCCTCTATAGTCTTTTGCTCCCATATCTTGAAATAATCATTCAAATTCTGACAACCTACAAGTTTGTATCCCCATCTCGGACCCTTTCCCTAAACTCAGAACTCATATGAGAGGACCCCCCCCCAAATTTCAAATTATCTTTGGAGGGCAGGCCCCTTGTAGTAGTGCACTTGCAATTTGTTCTGCGTATCAGACGGTCAAGCAAAGTTTTTAATCTTTGAGGAAGTTGCATCATGATTGGCAGAAGAAATGTCCTGAGTTGTAGGAAACCAGTGACTGGTTCTCCCCCCTTGGCAGTGTACCTATCCATACCACACTCAGTGCTCAGCAGTTTTTGACCAAAAACGGCATGACCCCCATCCCCCACCCTCCCTAGTCACATGATTTCGCCCTGAGTGACTTTTTGTTTCTTTCCCTGGATGAAAAAAGACCACAAAGGGAAACATTTAGCCCATGTGGAAGAGGTGAAACAAAAAATGACAAAAGCACTAAAAAGCATCACAATTGAGAAGTTCAGTAACTGTTTGGAACAATTGAAAAGGTGTCTCGATAGGTGTGCTGCATTAGATGGAGAGTACTTTGAAGATGACTGAAGTTTAAACATGTAAGAAGAAATACATAATTTTTTAATAAATAAATTCTGGGTTTTTGGGGTTCCCCCCTTCATATTATCTACTTTTTACTTTACATCATCTCATGATTTCTTTCCAGTCTTCACTTTCAACCTGTCCTTCTGCAGACTTCCCGCCTCAGTAGGTGGGCTTTCAGTTGTTCAGGGGAAGACCTTGGGTAATAGTGCTTAACCTCTACCTTTTTATCTTTTACCTTCAAAATATGCCCATTATCCAGCCACTTCTCACCACCTCCACTTCTGCATCCTAGTCCAAGCCACCATCAGATGGATATTGCAGTGGCCTCTTAAGGGCCTCCTTGTTTCACCTTTTGCCTCCCTTACCTCTCACCTCACAATCTATTTTATAGAAACTAGAACTTTGTACAAAGTCAAATCATTTACGTAACTCGCCTGCTCAAAACCCCCCTGTGATTTTCTTCCTTATTTTGTTTTACTCAGTAAAAGCCTGAAATTTTCATCTGACCCATTACTGCTCCAGCCTCACCTCTTGCCCTTCTCTGCCTTAGCTCACTCTGCTCTCACCACACTGGCCTCTCCATGTCAGAGTCTGGGAACTCATATCCTCTCCAGTAGTCACAGGACTCACTTTAGTCGGGGCTGTGCTTAAGTGGCCCCAAATGATGTGGCAATCCCTGACTGTGAGCTATCAGAGCAGTGTCCCACCCCAAACTCTCTCCTCTGCATTACTCTGCTTTTTTATTAAAGCTGGTGCCATCTGACATCTGTTTACATTTGTTGATTGTCAGCTCCATGAGGGCAGGTTCACTGTCCATTTTGTTATTGCTTTATTAATAGTGCCTGGCAGCTAGTAGGTACCCAGGATCTATTTGTGGGATGAGTGAGGAAAATTATGAGAAGAGATATTAGATGTTTCTAATTAAGATTTGAATCTTTATCTTATCAGTCTATGTGCCTCTCTGTAGATTAAAGATTTATTTTTTTCCTGTTTGTGGCTGAGATTTTATATTTAGAGTGAAACAACAGGGAAATTGGACTGAGCCATACAATCCTGCTTCATTTTTAAAAGCAACATGTGTTTTTTAATTTTACAGTTTTTATGGGAAATGGGGTATGATAGGCATCAAACCAGACAGAAAAATAGTAAATTTTATAAGTAGTTATTACATAAAACACTAAAGTAATAGTTAAAAATTACTAGTTCTTATCCAGTTGAGAGTTAATGGTTCTTGGAACAGTGCATTGGAAGCCTAGGAATCTAAATAATAAAAAAAGAAAATCTTAACATAGAATGTTTGTCTTTTCTTCAGTTTCTAGATTCAAATTCAACATTACTACAGCCAGTTAGTCTACAGACCATTGCAGCAGCAGCATCAAACCAGAGGCTGCCAACTTTGCCTGGCAATCACCCAGGTACATGAGACCTTATTATTTGCATCAAATAAGCAAAATTGTGAGAATATATGAATCTGTCAGAAATATATTGGTAGCTAAAATAGAGAGAAATTATAGGAACTCATTTGCATTTTTAAGCTATATGAAACAAATTCAAGGCGATACCATTATGACTGACATTAGAAGATTGTCAGAATGCTTATGTTGAACTGAATATTGTATTTTGAACACCAAGGTAAATAAACCTTTTAAGTTTGGAAACCTTTTTGTTATATATAGATTTCTTGAACTCGGGAGTAGTGTTGGAACACCTATCTGTTTGCGTTGGTTGTGTTTGTTAGGATCTTATATTTTAAGTCTAAATTATAAAAAGGATATTGTGTATACACCTCAAAAAGTACAATGTGTGTTTACTGGTCTCTTTTTTGCCTAAAGCAATGACAAAGAATGATCTCCAGCCACCCAATTACTACGAGGTAATGGAGTTTGATCCCTTAGCTCCTGCTGTCACTACAGAGTAAGTCATTTACAAAATGATTAATTTATTTTTTGTCTTGGTTCCCTTTGATAGCAGAGCTAACAGAGCTTGGTTATACATTTAACTTTGTTTAGGTCTTGACAGGAATTGATGGCCTTATTAAAAATGACTTATGAGGTTTTATGGCAGCTGTTGCTTTTAATGGTCTTATCGTTCTGGCCTTGTGACTAAAAAATAAAAGTGCTAACATTGCACATTAAGAAATAATCAGAACTAACCTGCAATAATGGATTCCTTGTAGGTCCCTTGGCAGGATCTCTTTAGCTTGAAAAGGGTACTATTCACGGATTGGTGACTTAACTAACACCACCTTGATGGGATATTTTAGCTGTTAAGAACTGATCCAAAAATTTAAAAAACTTATATAATGTGTTTTTAGTCTTCTACATATGACAACAATGTGTTTAACTTAAAATCATTAGAGTCATTTGTCGGGAGCCAGCCATGGAGGCCTTCGTGCTGACAAAGTCCAGGGGGCTGAAGACCCCAGGTCGCAAAGCGAACCTGGGCAACTGAGCCCCTTGCTTCTTTTACTTTTGTTATCAGTGCAGCCAAAAAGTTCTGAACAGTCTGAGGATGGAAAGCAAAATTCCACTCACACCTCCACTATCCCTTGCCTTTACTTCCCTTTGTTAAGGAGGCTTGTAATTCTGGTGACTTGAGCCCGAGAGGCCTTTTGTTTTACAAACATTAAAGCGCATTCTCCCTGGCAGGAAATAATTAATGCAGATTGTAAACACCAGGTGTGAAATTAGGGAAAACTAGTCAGGCCAACTTGCAGCTAAGAAACCTTGAAATTGTTGCTTTACCCCAGCTAGTTGCAGATTGCTGTGTGAAGGTCACAGGTGTGACATGCTAATCTATGTGATAATTACAGTGCTTTGAACTTGGTAGTGATTTATAATGTAATCGTTATAGGAATAAGTAAGTTCTGTATGGACATTAAGAAATGGTAATCATTAAAAAATGTTAGAAGTTTATAAAATTTATAGTTTAGGATGATAATGTTTTAAGATCAAAACAGGATGAACAAAGATACATCACCTGTCCGGTCCATTAAATTGTAACTGATTGCCTTGGAAACAAAAAACATGTAGGGTATAAAAGGAGTTGGAAAAGACAATAAATTGGCATGGGTCCTGCTTGCAGCAGAGTCAGTGTCCAAGTTTTTTCTCCTGCGCCTACGCTGTCCCTCTTTCAGGAAACCCTGACCCGCTGGAGCTGGACTCCGGCAGTCATTGCTTTATGATTTCATATTAGTCAAGTATATTTAAATATTTATGGGCTGATAGGATCATCAGAGCCAAAATATACTTTGAGTGACTGAAAGTCACCCCCAAAATTGTTAAAAATAATGAAATCAAGTGTATTGAAAGTCATTTAGAAACTGGCAGTCTGCAAGCTATAGCTTGCCTGTAGTTGTTTTGTTTGACCTAGGCAGAATTTTACATGTACATTTAAAAATTGCCAATAGTTGAAACCTTGGATAGTTAAAATTTAAAAATCTGGAATTCTCCATCTTTTGGATCTTCTGGCAGCACCTGCATTTCCACCTGGCAGCATTGCCTTCTTTACACAGGCGTGCTCTGCAGCCAACCAGGCCCCCACCCAATCCCTTGCATGTTTTCTCTGCCTGGCACGTATAGGCATTTGATGTTTTGACCCCTGGTTTAAGTCCTCAACACAGTGATTGATTTTGGAATAACTGATGAGTAGATGTCCATGGACTTAAGAGTTCATCAAGCACCGGGCACAGTGGCTCACGCCTTTAATCCCAGCACTTTGGGAGGCTGAGGCGAGAGGATTGCCTGAGCCCAGGGTTTCGAGACTAGCCTGGGCAACATGGCACAACCTGATCTCTACATAAATCAAAAAATCAGCCAGGCAGGGTGGTGCATGCCTGTAGTTCCAGCTACTAGTAAGGCTGAGGTAGAAGGATCACCTGAACCCAGCAGGTTGAGGCTGCAGTGGCTGGGCAACAGAGTGAGACTCCAAATCAAAAAAAAAAAAGAGTTAATTAAGTATTTTTCTCTAATTCACATTGGTGAAATTTCTCTAGGGCATTCTACTTGATAAATAGTAGGTATTATCACTGATTGTATTAGTGGTTTAAGAAACTGACCCTAAACTAGGTGTGCTTTCTAGAAACTTGTATTTATCAGTTCCTGCTTACAAATAGGTAGTGGAAATGTTCTTGGTTATACTCAAATTAGGAGATTGCTGTAAGTAGGTATGGCAGTGTGACAGATGGTGAAGGTAAGCGAGATAACAGGAAAGTCAGACTGGTGAAGATTTGGAATTCTCTACCACTGTGGTGGGTCTTACTTTCCAGGGGATTAGAGTGTCTCCATTACCTCTGAAAGTCTCATGAACTTCAGGGACTTTTCTCCAAGGAGAAGCACAGAACCTTGCAAGTTCTGGGATTTTTTACATCACTGATTATCCATGAGCCCCAGGTTGAGAATTTTTGCTCTAGCAGGACATATATTTATAAAGATATATACACAAGTCATTAACTTGACAAAATGATTGAGTATTTATTATGTGCCAGAGACTGTGACTGGCGCTTTATTAATAATTTTGAACAAGAAACATGCTTCCTGCCCTCAGAGGTTAAATGTAGCGAGGAGATAGAAATCAGACAATTTACTAGGCAAATACATACTTAAAATTTGCATTGTTATGAAATAATATGGAGACTTGAGAGTGTATAAGCAAGAGCTGATTTAAACAAGGGTAAGAGAAAGCTTGAGGAAGTGACTGTCAGTTACAAGTTTGGAAACAAGTACTGTAGGCCCAAAGACCCAGAGGAAAGAGTTTGGGAACATTCAGGAAGTGGAAATGCCAAAGCCAAGAGTAAAGAAAGTGACAGGGAGCTAGTACCAGATATGGCACCTATAATTTGGAAGAAAAGAGAAATGAGCATACAACTGTGAAGAACACTGCTAAGGGAACAAGAAGGATGAAAACTGAAAACTAGATAACAGAAGTCATTGGTGATTTTACTAAAGGCCATTTTGATGAATTGATGGGGACAGAAGCCAAATTTCAGTGCACTAAAAAGTAAATATGAGATAAAGTAAAGGCAGATAACCTACTAGAACTTAAATGTGAAGAAATGATGGACAATGGCTTGGCACTGGAGGATTACTGAGGCAATTACTGCAAGTAACATGGGATTAAGGACTTCACTGTGTTGTACAAAATAGGAGAGGTTGAAGGTTCAAGAAGGGGAAAAACTGAATGAATGAAATGTTTGAAAAACTAGGAGGAGAAAGGATATCGGAGAGGATGATACAAATGAAAATAGACATGAATATTTGGTGATGGGAAGGAGAGGACATTTATTAAGAAGGAGGTTTCTGCCAGAGAGAAGTCAGAGGTTTGAGTGAAGAAGGTTTGAAATCATTTTGTAGGAAATTAGAGACAAAACCTTTCAGGGAAACATTAAAACTGCAGGACCATTCTGGGGCCTTATGAAGTTGGTGATCATGGATACATAGTGCTGTGACTTTTATGACATTCTTTTCCTCAGCCAAGTTTTGCTATACTCTATATGTGAAGGTTGTGGTTTTGGGTATATTTTCTAGCTACAGGCATATGTAAGACATAAAGAACTGAAAGAAGGATGTCACAGAAAAATTACAACATAAAGGTACAAAAATGACCGTGATGAATTAAAGGTTGTTTAGGAGTCAGTCAACCTATTTAATCACATAGGTTAAATAAGCAGGAATATTAATATTCTTTTAAATATTTAGAAGCCATAAGTTATTTTGTCTCTTTTTAAATTTAAAAAATTGTCCATATTTGAGCCATATTTTTCATTTAAACCACTAGTAAAAAATGAATTGGTCCTGTGAAAAATTTTTGAATTTAAGAAAGCTAGAATATAAGCTTTAAGGCAGAGATATTTGCATTTATCCACTGATGTAGCCTGAACTCCAGAAACAAACCCAGATTTTTAGTTATGATACTGGCAGTTAAAAACCAAAATATTACTTTGAAATTGATATGTAACCCTTTTGCCATGATGACACTTTTGTTTCAGAGCTATTTATGAAGAAATTGATGCTCATCACAAGGGCACTCAAAGTCACAGTGATTGTTGAGGTAAAGTCTTCAACTTATACAACTTCATTACACATCCCGCTTTATATTTTGGAAGGGCCATCTGAGTCTGCCACTAAGTGAAATATGGATCCTTCGGAATCACTCAAATTGTAATCAACTATTGTTCACTAATGAAATACATTCTTCGTGATCTTGTAATGGAAATAATGAGGTCTGGAAATGTAGAAGTTAGTTTATGGTATAGAAATATTGATGCTAACAAAAGTAGATTATCAATAAAAACTTCTTAGCACCGAAATCAGGCATTTGTCTTTAATGTGCAGTTAACATTTGTTAACTGCCACCAGACCCATACACTGTTAGTCCTCCAAGTTAGTCTGGGCTATCCCTATTTGTGGCAGTACGAATCCCATTTATTTACTAATGAGTGGTCACCAGTGACCTACTGACCTCATTTACTCCCCTCACACCCTCCCCCATGGAAGAAGTACATTCCCACCTTTCCTCTAGACTGTGACTTTCCTCCTTCCCATAGGGAAAGACGAGTGAGTGATCCAGGCATGGGAAAGAGAAGGAAAGGATGAAGATTGGCCATTTTCTTCTCTATTCTAGGTGAACGTGGATGATCAGCCCACTAGCTGCATCAGGATGCCAACTCTCTTTAGAGGCATGGTTAGACCCTGTCCAACTCTTGAGGCCTGGAAGACAAGACCTACCAACATGTCAAAGACACAGTGAACATTTCTCCTCTGCTATAATGAAGATTAAATAGAAGTGTAACAGTTCCAGGGTTAACAATGATGGTTCCTGACAACAGCATGAGATTTATTTCATAGTGCTGAATTTGTTTGTAACAAATATTCATTTAAAACTTCAGCGAAGAAAAATTGCTTAGTACTTAATTGCGGTGACTTATGTTCACAGGCCTTCCTACATTTAGAAATCATTATACAGCTGTGATAAGAGTAGATGGAAATTATTTTGCTACATGATCATTCTGAATAAACCTAAAATGTGAGAAACTAAATATATTATTCAGAAAGAATACCGAGTGCCTTCATTTAACTAACATTGAATGTAAAAGTAAATTTGCACTTCTTTATAAATAATACTTTGGTTTAGAATTATAACTGTTAAAGACTTCGTGACTGTAGTTTAATTATATTTCAGGTGTCCCAAACAGGTCACTAAACTCTGCATCAGGCGGCCTTAAAATGATTCTTTATAATGCTACATGTTTTTACTGTAACTTAACATTTCTATTTGGAAAGACCACTACTGAGAAACATTCAGAATAAAATGTGCATTTGTTTATATAAATTACAATGACAAATAAATTACTATTAAAATAATTTATTATCTTTTTTACAAAGTTTGTATCCAGAAGAACTTTTGATGTTTTAACTCTTCATAATCCCATTCTTACATTTTAACATCCAGGGACGTGAAACTATGACAGTATCAGCTAGCAGCTATACATATATATATATATATTTTTTTTTTTTTGAGTTGGAGTCTCACTCTGTCACCCAGGCACGCACACAGCCACCACAGCTTCAACCTGCTGGGAGGTGATCCTTCTATCTCAGCTTCCAAGTAGCTGGAACTATAGGCATGCGCCACCACGCCTGGCTAATTTTTTGATTTATTGTAGAGATGAGGTCTCGCCAAGTTGCCCAGGCTGGTCTCGAACCCATGAGCTCAGGCAATCCTCTCACCTCAGCCTCCCAAAGTGCTGGGATTATAGGCATGAGCCACCGTGCCCAGCTTTTTTTTTTTTTTTTTTCAATTTCATGATACCTCAGTTTCAAAGTAATTATCTATTCAGAACTCTGAGTACAAAATAGCCCTAAATCTTAAAGGAAAAATAAAGTCAAATTTGAAATAAGAATGTAAATCCCTGGGCAAGCTGTTTGGCTTAGTGACTCCTCTTTTACTTGGGCTTTTAAAATGGTGACTATTCATACGCAAGGAAAATAACAACCAACTATTTTAGACAAAATAATAAACATGGTCAGAAGTTCTGGCTTATGACTTGAAATATACATTTAAAAATAATTTTCAGATTCACTGCCACAAGTATGAAGGGCTAACAATCTGGACAGGAACTATAGAATAGACTTGATAGTTCATATCAAGTCTGTGCCTGCATATTTAAGAAACGAAGCTAGTTTACTACTATCATACTTTATGGTATTGAATAGTCATACATTCTAAATAGTCATGTGGGTGTCCTATGATAAAAGCTGAACCTGTTCTCTCAATTTTAAGTGAGATAAACTAGTTGGGGAAAAAAGTAGAACCATTTAAAATAGAAGGCTTCACATTTTCAGAGTTATTTCACCTCTGAGAAGTGGGTACATGATTTTTCAAAAATCACAAATTAGAAGAACTTAGTTGTGATTTCAATTATAACCAGGTACTGGCAACTTGTGTCCGTCCTTTGCTTCAAAAAATGTGTAAGAAAGAGTGATGAGATCAACATTCACCATTCTTGGATCTTCAGCAAATTCAGGATCAATGTAGAAAAACACTGGCATGTCTACTTCCTCTTGGGGATTAAGCCTTTGTTCTTCAAAACAGAAGCACTAGAAGTTATAGAAAGATACTCATTTAATAATATTAACATTGCCTATCAGAAACTCATAGATTTTATTTCTTGATTTCAAGATTATACTTAATAGCATGCTTCTTAAAGTTCTGTGATAGAATAAAAGCATCTTTTCATCTCAGAGTGAGTTCTGTTTTAAAGATTGAGAATCAACAAATTCTAATCTTAAAAGCAGATACTCATTTGATTTGGAGATTGGCTCTCCATCTCTGCATAGCAGGTATAAACAATGAAGAGAAATAGCTTGAAGTTTAGAAGAAATGAGTTCTCATAAGTTACACAGTCTACTAAAACACTGCAGTAAGTTTCATACTACCATATTCTATGAAGTCTGCATTTAGTCTTACCTGTATTTTATTGAAATATTGTCCAGCTTCAAATGGAATGACATTATATGTAGAAATTCCGATTACTGGTTTGTCAGTAGGATTCTTAGCTTTATAAAATGCCAGTGCAGTCTCTCCTGGCACCACCTGTTTTAAAGTATATACATGGTCAATACTTTAAATCTCACACAGCTCTTTTTTCCCATAAATTACAGTCATATTTTTCATATTCATCAGATCACAATACCTAAACTACTATAAGTTTCAGCAAAATAAATTGTGCGTATTACCCATAAACAGATCTGAGTTTCAAACTTTATTTGCATGTCAATGAAGAACCAATGTTCTATTATGCATAATTATTTATGAATTATCCTCTTGTATATCTGAGGTCTTCTAGCAGTCTGCAAATTACGTTAGTTAATCCTTTGCACTCGGGATGTCCCTCTGAGGAGACAATGTAAATCTGGCAAACCACTCAGATGTCCCCTCTCAGAGGACATAAAGTGATTGCTGGTGATTATACAGGACAAATTTATACTAGTGCAAATTTTTCAAAAATACATATTTCCTTGAAGTTTTCCATTCAAAAACTGAAAAACCCATGTTCCATTTAAATCTGTCAAGCTTCTGACCAGTTGAGAAGTGGTTTTCAGTAATCACAAGTGTGACTTTCCATATCATCTTCAACAGACTAGACAATAAATTATATATTATTAATGTGGGAGGAAGAAAACAAGACTGCATAGTATACTTGAATAGAAAAACACCCAGTGGAAGATGTCAAACAAATTACTATTGCAAACGTATCAATGAACCTGCAATACATGTCAATGACTGTTTCACACATTACCACACATTAGAAAACCATAAGATGTAAATTTTTGATTGTTTTTGGTCATAAGTTCTTCAATGTCCAACATTCCATTATAAGCCAAATATCATTACAGTAAAATAATTGGTTCTAGCTGGTTGTAGAATAGTGATTTGTTTTTCACTATTTGTAAAAAAGCATGATCGAGTTGCTAGTAGATGATTCACAAGGTATTTCTAAGTGTGCAAAGGGCTAAGATGTGCTCAAGTATAAGCCAAACATATCACAGCCCAAGTTGAACTTCTTTATAACACCTACACCTGAATGTCATCACTGACTAAATATTTTTTAAAAGGATACCAACATTAAACTTACCTTACAACTTGAGTAAAACTGACCTAATAGAACTTTCATTAAGCCAAAACTTGTTAATATTTTGTTTTGAGAAAATAAGAGAAATAGCACGGCTTAAAAAAACCTTTCCACTTGTACCAATTTAGCTACTAATACCTTGTATATTACCATGTAATTGGATAATATTCAAAATTATAACCTGTAAAGCTCAATCACTGAAGAAACTCATCATGTTTACTCAACTGGGCAATATTTATAATATAAGACTTTTCCAATAAGGGTTGAAATTAAGTCTTTCTGACTAATCCTCAGTTAATGAGATATTAGTTAAAATCTCTCCAGGATTACAGTTTGTCAAAATTTAGGAAAAAAGTTAAAGTTAGGAAACTTTTTAGGTATAGTCTCACTGGAATATAACATGACTATTTACTATCTACTGATTACTTTAAGGATCTCTTTTTTTCCTCTTTTAGAAGGACAGGGATACTTTTGATATAAACTAGGAAGCTACTTTTCATTGTAACCAATGATTTTCAAGATTTTTCCTATGTCATCTATACCTAAGGAAAAGTGAGGAATCTATAAACTCACAACTACCGTTATTCCCATGATTAGTGATCAGAGGACTGCATAGTCAACTCTTAACAATATGATTCTAATAAAATAGATCACATTTTCCATTGTTCCAAACTTACTTATACTATTATGTTAAAAGTTAAACTGTTAAATTAGGTGATTACTATCAAAAGTAATCTATGGGCATAAAAAAATTATAGTAAGCTGGGCTCGGTGGCTCAGCCTGTAATCCCGCGCTCTGGGAGGCCGAGGTGAGTGAATTGCCTGTGCCCGCGGTTGCGAGACCCGCCTGGGCAACTTGGCGAGACCTTCTCTCTACAGTAAATCAAAAAAAATTAGCTGGGCATGGTAGCGCGTGCCTGTAGTTCCAGCTGGAGGCGGAAGGATGGCCGGAGCCCAGGAGGTCGAGGCTGTGGTGCTGGGAGCATGCCACTGCACTCCAGTCTGGGCGACAGAGTGAGACTCGAACTCAAAAAAAAAAAAAAATTATAGTAAAGGAACCTGTCAGTATTCTGGAACTAATTTTAGGTGAGTGAAAGCAGTTTAAGTGATGAAAGAATTTTTACATTAAAGTAACTTTTAATGACTAGTTTAGTCACTTACATATATTTCTGTTTGCTGAGGTCTAAAGTTCCACTGGAGACTTGCATGCACATCTGCATTAAACGTAACTTTAATGATTCGATCCTTAACAGGCACCATATTTTCAATCTGATCTGATGCATGACCTGCAACTGCTGATCCTCCAAGTCCAGTCGTCTAGAAAAAAATACTAGTTATGTCAAACAATACTTTTAGGTGATGATCTATTTACTGGATAAAAGTTTAAAAACAATTTAACATTAATACTCCACCCGCAGCCAAGTTTACATACTATCACTGATCATTTCCCATAACTGTGTCAATAGTTAGACTGCTTTGGGGATGTCAAGAACTTATATTTGTTAAAGTTATTCTTATTTTTCAGCAATCACTGGGTTAACTGGCATGGTCAAAAATGAATCATTTGGGAAAAGCAGATTCTCTAGATCAATGAACTATTATCACTGTTAACATACCTCAGAATTTCCAGCTTATCCTTTTATTAAACACATTTATTTCCCTTTATTGCTAGTGTTTTATATTAACTATTATTCTTTAAAAAAAATTCACCCAAGGCCTGGTCATTTCAATGAAAGTACTTAAATAATTCAGTGTTCCCATGTTTTCTGATACTTTCCCATATAATAGCTTGTATTATTCAAATTAGGTTGTAGTTTCACTTCTATATTCTGCTTTTCTAAGGCATAAGTCTTTCCCCTGTTGGTTAATGTTTTTGGATTTTTTTCTGTACTTCTCTGTATAGTAGTAGAGCTTTAATATATATTACCAGTTAATCAGAGTACCTAATCCTTCTAGCCACTTAATCAACTAATCATAGGATAATTTGTGTCTGACACTTCTTGCTTCTCTACATTGCCATTAATTATTTCCTTATCATCAGATACATAAAAAGAAAAAAAAGAAAAAAGAAGCCCTTACTTCCAAGGTCATCATTCTTCTGATACTTGAGGTTGCCAGAATTCTGGTTTCGGGACTATTTACCTGTTACTATACTAAGGGGAAAAAAATACCAAATTGAGCTAGGGGAAGATCCCCAGCAAGATACAATACTACTATCTCCAGCTTGTTACACAAGTCAACTAGGTTCACTCAACTGCCATTCAACATTATCAACTTATATTATCCTTCTGCCTAAAAATTTGAATAAATTTTCACTTGAATAAAGAAAAACTTAAGTATCATTCCTCAATAAAGATTCCTTGATATATTCTTTGAATACACATTCTTCACATTTCTAAGCTCAATGCTTAGAGAAACTAAAACAGACAAACAAAAAGAGTAGAAAAGAGAACCAAAAAAATGTCCTGGGCTCTAGTCTAGCTGTGCCACTAACTAGCTCCAAGAACCGAATAAATCTGTTTCATTGGTCTATACATGCTTATAAAATGAGGTCATTGTATTAAGTGGTTTATATTACTCTCTATTTCTGGTTGTATAATTCTGTGATCTCAGAAGTAATAGAGGTGTTCTTTTGGAAATATCACTGTTTAACACTGAACTTAATTTCAGGATTACAAACTGCATGTTTTACCTTCCTGCTTTACAACTGCATGTGGATACATTTCACACACAGAACTGCCAGTTACTTCAATATGGGGCAGGGTTTCTCAACCTCAGCACTATTGACATTTTGGATTGAATAATTTCTTGTTGTGGAAGGTTGTGTCCCGTGCACTGTTGGATATGTAGCAGCATCCCAGCCTCTACCCTCTAGACTCCAGTAGCACCCTACTCCTCCACCCCTCAGGTTGTGACAACCAAACATGTCTTCTTCAGATATTGCTAAATATTCTCTGGAGTACAAAATCACTTTTCCCCAGTCCCCTGGTGGTTTGAAGGGGATCAATACTTGTTGATTCTGATTCAATTCTGCTATGACTTAACCAACTGGTAGCTTTAGGGTTCATGCTTGGTTCAGGTATGGCTTTTATCAGCTTCCCAGGTGATGTTAATGCTGTTGGTCCTCGAAGTAAGGGGTGGAGGTAGGGGAGGCACACTTTAAGAACCACCAAACTAGAACTTTTGATCTAACAGGGAGTCCATCTCAGAAGGGAGGAGCTGAAAAATTACCGACTGAGCACAACGTACACTACTTGGGTGACGGCTACACTAAGAACCCAGACTTCACTATACAACTCACCTACGTAACCACAACCCACTAAATAGACTGAAATTTTTTTAAATGAAAAAATAAATGACGCTTCATTAAGAAATAATAATAAAAATAGAAGGAATCCCAAGGCTAGCACATTACAGTTATATTTTACATATTAAGACGCGGGGAGTAAAACCTCAAAAACCAAATTCACGCCTCTCTGTAAGGACGAACAGCGAACCCCGGTTTTGGCACAGGGAACACGAGTGGTCCCACGTCCAGGGTCCACCTTAGCACAGGGGCCACACGCGGTTCGCAGAAGAAATGTAGTAATGATACACATCCCTGAACGGGTGGGCAGGAGGGCGAGGCCGCCGGCTGGGTACCCGATCGATGGGAGGCTGAGGGCCTTTCTGATGCAACTCACCGACTCGGACTTTCCCTCGGAACGCGGTATAGACACGTTCCCATGGAGAAGCGGGTTCCCCTTGCACTCTTGCCACTAACGTCCTTGGGTAGGTCGCCATTTGCGGCCTATGCCCTCCCTGGAAGAAGGTCTCGGCCTTCCCCTCCCGCTACCGCCGTCGGGCGGTCGCCGTTGCGGGCCTGCCCCGCCCCTCTGCTCCCAGGTGGCGCGGCCCCTACCTGGCAGTAGAGCCGATACAGGGGAACCGCGGCGTAGGACGCGCCCAGCATGCCCACGGCGGCCGCCGCCACGTAAGTGAGCACCGTCTTGTTCCGCCGCCGCCAATCCTCCTGCTGCGCGCGCGTGAACGGGTTCGAGCTTCTCGGCCGCCGCGGTGGCGGCACGGGCGAGGCCCGGGCTCCGACGCTCCGGCGCGTCCATGTCCCCAGCCCCCTCTCGACACCTTCCGTCCCACTCCATCCCGGCCTAAGAAACGGCTCTATCCCCTCCGCAAGCCTGACCGGAGACCCAGAGGGGATCCAACGCCAGCCACAGAAAGCGACGTGCCTCCACCCCGGACACCAGAGCCCTCCCATAACCTCCGGAAACGCCCGCCGGTCGGGGACTCGAGACCAAGTGTCGCGATTTTTGCTCTGTCTCGCGGTACCTGGGCGGAGCTTATCGCTGCCTTGGCTACCAGACTCCTCAGGTGGCCGTGCTTCTCGTCGGACTACGGAGGCCGGGTTGCCAGCTTACGGGTAAGTTTGCGTTTTGCGTTGTGAGAGTTCCTCCCACTTTGCGGCTTGGACTGACTTCTGGGAAAAGGCGCTTGACTCCACCGCTGGCGGGCTCCTCATCAGTTGGGGTGGTGCCTCTGACCTTTTAAAACCACATCATCATCTACCAGCCTTTGTCTGGACCCAGGCGGCCCCCTGAGACTCTCCCGTGGTCCTTGGATCTGGGTTGCCTGGACTTGGGCTCAGGGGTCACCTCTCTCGGGAAGCCTTTCCGGGCGGATTACAGCCCAGCAGACCCTCTCGATGCTTGCGTCTTCCTTCCCCTGGGAGATCGGCGTGCACCGCTCCCTGCCCCTTAGCTCCTCGTCCAGGAAGGATTGCCACGTCCGGGGCTGAAGTTTGTTCGGAAGAGAGTGGCCAGGACACGAGGGTCATTTAGGAACCCCGGTGGTGGATGTAGGCCCTTTCTTCAGCTGTTGCACGGGATACCATGGTGGTGGGCAGGGAGGGCAGATAGCATAGCCGGTTTTACTGTAATCGAAGGGAGCATCTTTCTAGAAACTGTAAAAGAGTGGTCCAGAGCTCAGGTTCTGGGATTAGGCAGTTCCGGATCGATCGAGCAATGACTCTTTTCTTTCTTTTTCTTTTTGGTAGAGAAGGGGGTCTTCCTATGTTGCCCAGGATGGTCTCTTAACTCTTGGCCTGAAAGGATCTCCTGCCTCAGCTTCCTTAGTAGCTGAGATTACAGGCACAGATCACCCCACCCAGCTAATTTTTAAAATTGTTTTGTGACAAGGTGTCCCTGTGTTGGCTCAGGCTGATTTCAAATTCCTAGCCTGAAGCCATCCTCCTGCCTTGGCCTCTTAAAGCTCTGGGATTACTGGCATGAGTAACTGCACCCAGCATGTTCTGAATTTTTACCTGAGTCCTCATCATAGCCCTGTGTCCTCAGTCCAGTTGTTTGGCCTCTTTAAGACCTAGGGCCCTTATTTATGAAATGGAAATGATAATAGTGAATAAGAGTATGCATATCACGACATGATTTTCACGGTACCTGAGGCATAACAAGAATTTAGTAAAACTTTGGCTTTGTTTCTAATGGCCAGAGCAAGTCTAATATGTCCACTATATGGATGAAGAAACTAGAGAAACTGTCATTCAACATTTATTTACTTATGTATTGCACTTTTTTGTTTCCGTTTATATTTTTTTAGAAATGGAGACAAAGTCTCACTATGTTGCCTAGCCTGGTCTTGAATTCCTGTCCTGAGGTGATCCTTCCACCTCAGTCTCCTGAGTAACTGGGATTATGGGTGTGATCCACCATGCCCAGCTAATTTTTTTTTTTTTTTGTAAAGGTGACATCTCTCTGTTGCTTAGTCTGGTCTCAAACTCCTGGACTCAAGCAATCCTCCTGCCTCAGCCTCCTGAAATACTGGGATTACAGGCATGACACAGCACTCTACCTGTCTATTGCACACTTAACGGTGGGCAGACACTAATCAACCCACTGGGGCTCTAGTACAAAAATCACTTCTATTATGGAGTGTACTTTCTTCTGAGGGACTCAGGAGATACTCAAGTAACAGTTACACAAATAAGGGAATTTCAGATAACAGTACAGTGAAGTCAGTGAGATAGCCATAATGTGACTGAGAGTGGTGGGGAAGAGAGGTACTAAAATGAGGTCTTACTGAACAGGGGACATCTGAGCTTAGTCCTGAACAAAGATAAGGTGCTACCTACATAGTGACAATTCCAGGCCATCCAAAAGCCCAGGGGACAGGAAGAGCTAGATAGGATTGAAGGGGAAAAAAGGAGGCCAGCATGTTCCTGGCATAGTGAGCCAGGTGGAAAGTGGTAGGAAATGGGATCAGAGTAAGTATACAGAGGCCTGATAATACAGAGCCTGTTAAGCCATGTCCAGGTGCTTGGATTTTATGCTGAAAGGATATGTTGGAATGTTTAAAGTGCACAAGTATAAGATATGATTCATATTTTTTAAAAAAGATACTGGTTACTTTGTGGAGACTGGATTATGGGGGAAAGAATGGAAATAGAAGATTTAGAGGCCATTGTAGTAGTCCAGGTGAGTGGTGATGTTCACCTTGAGTGAGTAATTGATTAACTTGTGGTCACAGGGCCAGAAAATTGCAGAGCCAATAAAATCCAAATGTCTTATGACTCCTTTCTACTCTAGCTCATGGTCTCAAAAATGTCAAGATTCTATGATTCTACACATTTATTTATATTGTGTTATGACAATGTTTGAAAATTTTTTGTCCTTATGTACCTTGGTTCTTGTACCAGATTCTCAGTTCTTTCAGACTGAGACCTCTTATATTTTAATTTTCTTACAGCATAGACTGAAATCCCATACAAACAATGTCCTTGAAGCCAGTAATACATTTTCTCTGACCATTTTCTTTTTCTTCAGGCACCCCTTTCATGTAGCTCCAGACATTAGTATAAATATGTCAGTAATAGTGTCTATGTCTTGGACTCTCTAGTATTTAATTTTTTATAATTGCTGAATGAAACTATTCCTTTCTAAGGTACAATGATACTGATGGCAAGAAAGCGGTGTTGGTCTTTGTGGCTTTCTACTTTAATGAAAGAAAATATGCATCATATCTGGTCTTAATATAATGTAAAATGGCAATTTTATAAATAATTCTGAATGACAGCTAAAATATTTTTTGATTTTTTCATATACTGAGAATGAACTGTGTAGAGCATCCTTTAGTTCAATGTCTAATTAACTTTTTACTTTGAAATAACTTAAAATTACATAAATGCAGTGGAAATAGTACATGAATTTCCTATATACCCTTCACCTAGATTCTCCAACCTTTGACATATTTATGCCATTTAAGAATAGATTACAAACATGGTATTCTAGAATCATAAACTTCATACTTGTTTATTTTTTATTAAAAGGATACTTTCTCCATAACTACAGTACAGGTATCACAAAGTTAACATTAATCCAATATTACTATGTGTGTAGTGATTGTGGGCTGCCAGTAACAAATACCACAGACTAGGTTGCGTAAACAACAGATATTTTTATTTCTCACAGTTCTGGATGCTGGAAAGTCCAAGATCAAGGTGTCAGCTGATTCATTTCATGGTGAGGGCTCTCCCAGGCTTGCAGACATCTGCTGTCTTGCTGTGTCCCCACATCGCTGAGAGGAGTGAGCAAGTGAGCTCTGATGTCTCTTCTTCGAAGAATGCTAATTTTATGGGATCAGAGTTCTACTCTTATGACCTCATTAAGCCTTAATTTCTTCGTTAATCCAAATACAGCTACATTGGAGGTTAGATCTTCAACATATGAATCTGAGGACACACACACATTAAGTCCTTAACACTGCCATGTTATTTATGGTCTCTATTTAAATTATCCCCATTTGTCTCAGTCATTTCCATTTTAGGTCCAGGATCCAACCCTAGACCTCATTTTTAATGGTCGTGTCTCTTTAGTCTTCATCAATCTGAAGTAGTTCTTCAGTCTTTCCCCATCTTTCATGGCCTTCACATTTTTGAAGAATACAAGCTGGTTACTTGGTATAATGGCCCTCATTACGGTTTTTCTAATATTTCCTCATGGTCTATGAACGTTTAGAACATCATAGAAGTGATGCTTTGGTACTTTCAGTGACTCCTCTTAGGAATCACATGATGCCAATTTATGCCATGACTGTGATGTTAGCCTTTGTCTCTTTAGTAAGATTGTGTCTGCCAGATTTCCCTATTATAAAGTGATAATTAACTAATAACTGTGTCACACTTAATAATAAGCAATTATTGTGTTTTAGGGGAAGAAGCTTTTAGACTGTATAAATATTCTGTTTCTCCTGAAACATTCTCCTGCCAGATTTAGAATCCATTGATGATTCTTGTCTGAATTTGTTGTTACTGTGAGGGATGACAAGTGACAATTTTCTAATAATTATCACTCCTTCCAGATGTATTAGTTGGCATTTATCTATAAGGTAGAGCTTTCCTTTCTCCTCTATATATTTCTTATTCATTTATTTGTTTACATCAATATAGACACATGAGTTCCTATTTTAATCAAAGGTTTAAATCTGTTACTATCATTTTTTATTCTGATTTCAAAATTTCCCAGACTTGGTCAGTGGAAGCCTCTTTTTTTGACATGTTTCTGTCGTTTTTTGATCATCTTACTTTCTGGCATCACAAGGTGTGCTAGGCTCATCTTACATTTTCCTGTCCTAACCCTGGAGTCAGTCATTTCTGCCAAGGGTTTTGATTCTTTTAGGGGAACGTGGTATTCAGGAACATACTCCCCGGCATTAGAAGTGTTTGTTGCTATTTGAGTGTCATAGCTTCTAGATGTTCTCAACAGAGAGAACTATACGATTATTATGTATAAACAGATGTGTGCATGTGTATGCAGACTACTGTTTAGTATATATGCTTATTTACTCAGTCCCCCCATATGTAAGCAGATTACCCTGGCTGAAAGATTGGCTGCAGACATAGGACCTCATTTCTGCCTGGTAAGTCAGCCCAAAGCTAGGCATTGAACATACTGCCCAGTGGGCACTATCCAAAAGCTCTGCAGTACAAAAGTGAAGAGGAAGAAGGAAAGAGCAAGTCTAGTTAGGAAGTTCAGCTTCAGGCATTTTAGGAGGAGGAAGAAGAAAGGTCAGTTAGGAAGTCTGGTTCTAGAAATATAGACCAATCTATAGGCTTAGCCCATGAAGAGGCCAATCTCAATTTTACAGTTGAGGAAACAGTCTTGGAATGATGAAATAACTTGCCCAAGCTTATTCAGTTGGGTAGTGGTGTAGCTGGAGTTTAGGCCTGGATTTTATCTGACTTCTTGCTTCTTGCTATTTTCACCCCATCTTGTAGAAAGCAGCTTTGCAATGAATGGCAACAAAACAACAACAAAAACACAGCAGCTTTTTTTTCCTTCAATATTAGGAATTATTTCTTTACTTTTGCCTCAGTTAAAATTATCATTGATGTGGTTGGATGCCTCTTGG